TCTATCTATCTATCTATCTATCTACTGTAGGACTGCAACTAATGATTATTCTCTTCATTGATTAATCTGCTGATCATTTTCTCAATTCATTGTTCTGACTTTAAAACATTGCAAACTAGCTTTAAAAAAATGTTCTTAGAATCCTAAGTGACATCTTTAATATGATCAATAGTCCAAAACTCAAAGATATTCAGTCAACATTCATGTAGAAAAGTAGAAAATTCTCACATTTGAGAAGCTGATTGAAGTGAAATTGTGGCATTTTTGCTTTAAAATAACCAATCAGTTATATGTTAAATCTGGGCTGCTCTGAGGGAAAAAAAAAGTAACTCCCAAAAACCAAGAGACTGTCTTCTAATATAAAGTAGATTGTATTTTGCATCATGTCAGTTCTGTTGATGTCAGTGTCATCATCACATTACAGGTCAAACTAAAAAATGTCCTCTTCAGCAGATAAATATGTATTTTATGTAAACTTCAACAACTGTATCCTTCATAAAATATCATTATTTAAACAAACAGAGTCACCAGTGTGATAATATAAAGCAGAAACATTCCTCACAGATGGTCCAGATTAGTACTGTAGTTCAGTATTTGAGGTACCTTTACTTTACTTGAGCAATTCCCATTTTGAGCTACTTTATACTTCTACTCCATTTAGAGCCAAATAATGTAATTTTTACTCCATTAATTTATCTTACAGCTGTAATTTACTTCATAAATTAAGATTTTACATTAAAAAAGCTTACAAAATACTATTTGTTAAAGATTAAACCAGTGACTGGTCCCATTGTCGTGTCTCTGATGTCTATGAGCTGTTGATGTCTTCACTGAACAACCATAACAACAATATTTGTATCCATTTCACTAAAAATCAAACATTTACAACATATTTCCCCTTCCTTTTGATCAACACATGACCCCCGACACTCGACCCCTTTATGTTGGGAAGTACATTTACTCAAGTATTGTAATTATATACAAATTACATGCTACTCCATACTTCTCCTAAATATTGTACTTTTTACTCCACCACACTTATTTTACATCTGTAGTTACTAGTTGCAGATTCAGATCAATAACACAACATATAACTGACCAATGAATTATGATGCATTATCATCACAATTCATATGCTGGCAGCAGTATAATAAAGTAATTCAATTTAGCTCCACTTCTAGTAGCTGCAACCTTAAAGTGATTTACACATAAATGCTTCAATAATTATATTTTAATAATAGTATATACATGAAATGGGCCATTGTACAGACTAAATACTTTTACTTTTAGTACTTTAAAGTCTCCCTTTACTCAAAAATGTTTTTCTTCTTGTTCCTACAGTGTGATGTTTGAGCTTCACTGTGTTTAGTTTGACACTAAAAGGATGTTTTCACACTCTTATGCTGAAAGTGGAAAGTTTCTCTGAAAGTCAGATGTTTAAGGGGGCGGGGCTTACGAGCATGATTTGTGACATCACCTGTTGCTCAATAGTTTGGAAGTCAATCCAGGTCCAGTATGCAACTTATACAAGGGCTGATGTAGAAATTTGAAACTGCAAGTGCACATAAACTGAGACCAGACTTTACAGTGACGGAGGAGACATCTTGTGTCCTGCAGGAAAACTTTAGAAATGAACAACATGTGCATATCCATAGATATCTTAGATTACTTTTTAGGGATTTTAATGTGGAAATTATACTTTTGTTTGTTTGCATTATTGTTCCAAGCAGATTGTTTGTATATCAGCACTTCTTATAGTTTCTCACAGTCTCTTTTTAAGCTGCCACATTGTCAGTGTTAAAATGTAGTGTCTTCCATGT